GGGGAGGACGATGGAGAGGACGAGAGGGGTTCAGATTCTGGTTGGAATCCTGATACCTGATTGGCTGCTGACGTGGTGTAAAGCAACATGAGGGACTGGAGGAAAAGAACAACAGAGAGAAACAGGAACAGAGAGGAAGGAGGGCAGGGTGAGAAACCAACATGCTGTAGTCTAATAACACACACACACACAGACACACAGACACACACACACACCAGGTGTGTGTGTTTACAACAAATCCTAAGGCAGGTCATGCTGTGCAAACTGTTACTTACACAGAAAATCTAGTGAAGCTGAGCTACAGACGGACAAACAGACAAAGACACGAGTGTGAGGGCGCCACACGCTGCGTTAGTCCTGCAGGAGGAAATGTCTACAAACGTAACGGCACAACCACTGTGGGCGTGTGCAGCTAGCCAGGACCTGTAAACGTGCTGCCATCAGACATGCTAGCTGTTTAACATATTTACTCATTCGTACAGGACAGTGATGGGATTTCCGTCTCTCTTTAGAGAGCCGGCTCTTCAGGTTGTTTTGTTGCTTTAATTAATTTATTATTAACAATAATATAAAATTATGTACAAAAGGAATTACTAATGTAAAAAAAACAGCAACAACGTGGTTTTATTTATATATGTTTATATATAAACAAAACTCCAAAACACATTTCTAGCGTTAACTGAACTTCAAAACAGAGCTAATAGATCACTTAAATTACACAATTGAAAGCATGTGTGTATTGTTTGTGTATTTATACACAAGCACTCATATTTATTCAAATAATAAATAAAATAATTCAAATAAAAGTTAATTTACCTGTTACTACCACACAACAAATCTGGTCGTTGGTAGAATTCATATGTTTTTACACTGAACACAGTGCACGACTCTCGGGTAATGTACAAACCATAAACCAAAGCTGAGATCATACTTAACAAACTGTTAGACGCTTTTCATTTAGTATTAAGGGGAGTCATTAAATGGTACTCACTGTAACCCATCC